TGGGCACCTCTGAGCCCAAATCCTGCAGGATTCTCAGGCAGAACCAAACCTCAACAAATTTGGCATCTCTGAGCCCAAATCTTGTTGGATTCCCATGCAAAATCAAATCCCAGCAAGGTGGACATCCCTGAGCCCAAATCCTGCAGGATTCCCAGGCAGAAGCAAATTCCAGCAAATTGGGCATCTCTGAACCCAAATTCCAGAAAGGTGGGCACCTCTGAGCCCAAATCCCAGCAAATTAGGCATCCCTAAGCCCAAATCCTGCAGGATTCCCAGGCAGAACCAAATCCCAGCAAATTGGGCATCCCTGAGCCCAAATTCTAACAAGATGAGCATCTCTGAGCCCAAATCCCAGAAAATTGGGCATCTCTGAGCCCAAATCCTGCAGGATTCCCAGGTAGAACCAAATCCCTGCAAACTGGGCATCCCTGAGCCCTAATCCCAAAAAATTGGGCACCTCTGAGCCCAAATCCTGCAGGATTCCCAGGCAGAACCAAACCTCAACAAATTTGGTATCTCTGAGCCCAAATCTTGTTGGATTCCCAGGCAGAAGCAAATCCCAGAAAATTGGGCATCCCTGAGGACAAATCCCAGCAATTGGGCATCTCTGAGCCCAAACCTTGCTGGATTCCCATGCAAAATCAAATCCCAGCAAGGCGGACATCCCTGAGCCCAAATCCTGCAGGATTCCCAGGCAGAAGCAAATCCCAGCAATGTGGGCATCCCTGAGCCCAATCCCAACAAATTTGGCACCTCTGAGCCCAAATCCCAGCAAATTTGGCATCTCTGAGCCCAAATCCTGCAGGATTCTCAGGCAGAACCAAACCTCAACAAGTTTGGCATCTCTGAGCCCAAATCTTGTTGGATTCCCAGGCAGAAGCAAATCCCAGCAGGTTGGGCATCCCTGAACCCAAATCCCGGCAAATTGGGCATTTCTGAGCCCAAATCCTGCAGGATTCCCAGAATGAACCAAATCCCACCAAATTGGGCATCCCTGAGCCCAAATCCTGCAGGATTCCCAGAATGAACCAAATCCCAGCAATGTGGCATCCCTGAGCCCTAATCCCAAAAAATTGGGCATCTCTGAACCCAAATCCCAGCAAATTTGGCATCCCTGATCCCAAATCCTGCAGGATTCCCAGGCAGAACCAAATCCCAGCAAGGTGGGCATCTCTGAGCCCAAATCCCAACAAATTGGGCACCTCTGAGCCCAAATCTTGTTGGATTCTCATGCAGAACCAAACCTCAACAAATTTGGCATCTCTGAGCCCAAATCCTGCAGGTTTCCCAGAATGAACAAAATCCCACCAAATTTGGCATCCCTGAGCCAAAATCTTGTTGGATTCCCAGAATGAACCCAAATCCCAGCAATGTGAGCATCCCTGAGCCCAAATCCTGCAGGATTCCCAGGCAGCACCAGCTGCACCTGGGATGAAGCAGAGCCCAGGTCTGTGCCTTCCTTTCTGTTTGGGACATAGAAAAACAATTTCTGCCCCTGCTCCACATCCTGATCCATCTCCTGTCAGGAAAAACAGTGATTTTCCTCTCTCTCAGCCCTCCAAGAGTAATTCCAAACCAAGAATTTAACTGAATGACAATCCAAGGTTCACAGGATCAGCAGCCAGCTGCAGGGATCTTATCCCCCATTTCCCCACGTCTCAAAGCAAAAATAAACCCCCATTAATCCTAAAGCACTTCACCCAACCAGCACTGCTCTGCCTCCTCCTCTTCCCAGAGATAAAAACAAAATATTTTACCTAAAAACTCAAATGATGCTGGATTGGAGGTGGAAAAATGGAACCATTCCTCCCCTTGCCAGTGCCCAGGTGGGGCTGGTGCCAGCTGTGCCCTGCTGGGCAGCTGTGCCAGGGTCCCTGGCACATAACCATGTATGAAACCATGGCAGCAGCAGCACATCCCTGGGTTCTGCCTGGATTTGGGGTGGATTTTGGCTGGATTTTGGGTGGATTTTGGCTCCCTGAGGTCGCTGCTGCTTCCCTGCCTCAGCCACCTGCACCAGCTCAGGGCTGGGACCATGATTTTGGGTGGATTTTGGCTCCCTGAGGTCGCTGCTGCTTCCCTGCCTCAGCCACCTGCACCAGCTCAGGGCTGGGACCATCCTGCCCTGCACAGTGGGAAGCTGAAATTAGCCTGAATACAAATTAAATAATTTCCCTTCAAGGCCCAACAAGAGATCCATCAGCACTGGGATGTGCTTCCAGTGGAAATTCAGATTATTCCAGCCTGGAGATGGAATAATAAAAATAAGGTGCTCACTCCAGCGAGCATCCTTCCACTAAATTCCCATCCCTGTATTTACCCAAAAGCTCTGCCTAGGAATGCAGCACATGGAATTCCCTCCTTGAGTCACATTAATATGGAATATTCTTTTAAATCAGCATTTTCCTCAAAGTTCCTCTCCCCCAGCACTCAGCACGTGACGAGGTAAAAGGGAATTAAATCTCAATTCTGCACTGCACTTTGTTTTTTATCCCCTGCACAAAGCTCTGCCCTCAAGGCTCATTAACACCCATCAGAGGGGTTTGTGAGACACTGGAAAAGCTGCTCCTGGCAGATTCCGAGCTGGAAATCCTTATCAAGGCTATTTATAAGCCTGGTCAATAGCAGATCAATCCAGCATTAAAGAGGGTCCCTCTCTAACACCACACCAACAGCATGAAAAGGAGAAATATCCACCCAAAGTGAGCCCTGGGCTGCTCCTCCTCGTGTTTGAACTCCAACCAGCTCTCTCCAGGGAGGAAACGCTCAGGGTTCAATTAAAAATCACTTTTCTGGCTCCATAACCCTGGGCAGGGTGGTCAATCCTGCCTTAATTGGAGCAGCTTCTCCACCCACTTCTCTCAACAGCCACATTCACCCTCAATCCAATTTTGGATTTTTCTAATCCAAATTAGAAATTCTAATGATCTATCCTGCCAAGTTAGTGCCATTTGCACTGAAAATTCAGATTTTTAACAAGCAGCACCATTCTGGGAAGAAGAAGGTGAAGGATGCCCAAAGGAATGACAAATTAAGATCCATGGTTTTCATCTGCGACTCTGAAATATTTTGAAACTGGAAACAAATTCAGCGGTTTAACCTAAATCTGATGTAGAAAAGAGACACCCAGTCTGGCATGAAATTCAATAGCAAAAAGCATCTTGTAAAAAACACTGACTCAATGAAAAGCTTAAGCAGGCTGAAATTGTAAGATGATAACAAAAAAATGAAAGAGCTAAACAATCTTCCAGTTTGCACTAGGTTTGAAATTTCATGTTTACAAGCTATTAAGTTCTTTCTCAGAAAACCCCTTTTCAGATGCAGAAGAAATCAAATTTGACACGATTTACCCACAGACTGTTGGAATCAACAAGAGAAATCCCAAAATATTTCCAGAGAATTGAGAGCACGAATTTCTAAACCCCAACGTGCTTCCTCTGCTTGCCCAAAATCAGTGAGAGAAGAGGTTTTTTTGGACTAGAGCACCACTTTGATAATTCTGAGTGGATCTCATTGAAAATTACAGAATCATGGAATGGGGAGGATCCTAAAGATCATCCAGGCGATGGGCAGGGACATTTTTACTATCCCAGGTTATTCCAAGCCTCTCCTGGCTTTGGATATTTCCAGAGATGGAGCAGCCACAGCTCCATCAGGGGAAAATTTCCCCCCAAAAAAAAGGAAAAAAAAACCTATTAAAGGAAAAATAAACCTATTAAAGGAAAAATAAACCTCTTAAAGGCATCAGCCCCTTACAGTGAAGTAGAACTGCTCAGTCTCCTGCTGGTTTGCCCTTCTCTTGGCAATGCTGGGTTTGCTCATGAAGGTCTCTGACACCGTGGATTTCACCGACTCCATGGAGTTGCTGTACTGGAAGCAGTCAGAGACATCAAAGTCCTCGATGGTGACAATGTCCTGGATGGTCTGCAGAGTGGCCTCCATGGTCTTCTTCACCTGCCCAGCAAGGAGGAGAGGACTCAAAACCTCAAGGTTTGGCGTGGGGAGTAAACAGCAGAGGGAGGGGAGTGCCCTGGAGCACTGTGCTAATAAACAGACATTACTGGTTTCACACCCTGGGTGCTGTAATTAATTAATTCTGGCTCATTAGCAGCACAGCCCATGCAAGCACAGAGCTGGCAGCACCCTCAGCCTGCCAGGACTCCCTGCCAGGATCTCAGTTGTGATCTCAGCTGGAGATGGAAAGAAATTCAACCTCAAAGCAAAGAAAGCTGGAACCAGGATTCCTCTAATTGTCTTTGCATCTACTGGGCATCAAATGTTAATTACAAACAGGACTCTGCTGCACTGTGCATTTTTATTGAAGGCCAGGATCAACTTTCTAGACATAAAAGGGGTTGCAAATTTTGCCACAAAGCTCCTGAGCACAGAGATGCAGAGATCAGATCCCCACTGCTTCCTCTCATCTTGGATGGCCACTTAAACAAAAACCCCTTTAACTCAGGTGATGCAAATTCACTTCAAAACATTAAATTCCTCCTGTTCCCTTTGCTATCCAAATTCAGCTTTGGCAACACAGCCAGGCTTGTCAAGGGAAGGATGGGAAGAGAGATATGGGGGGATTTTAAAGGGTTCTCCCCACACACCCAACTTCCCTGTGAGATCACACTACAATTAATGCACAAGATGCTTTGGCCTGGAATTTCACCACAAATGTTAATACAAAAGGATCACAACAATTCCATAACCAGGGCTCACCAACCACTGGAAGTGCATGAGGGGGGGTTGTTGCTGAGTTTTGGTTTTTTACTGACCTCTTCATTTTCAATCTTCAGCGTGGACAGGCGGGACTGCAGCTGCTGGCACCTCTGCACCAGCTCACTCTGCACGGGCTGCTGGGCACACAGCTGGGACTCCTGCAGGAGAAACAGCACACAGAGCCCTGCAGCCACTCCTTTATCCATCACACAAACATCCTCTGGAGGGCTGAGCCCTACACTGGATCCAGGTTTAAAATCCAGGTTGAACGCTGGATTTCAACCGGAGCAGGTTCTGCCTTCTCTGAGGAAGAACAGCCAGCAGATGATGGCAACATCAAAGAAGGGCTAGGAAACATCAGCTGCTGTCAGTGGTGTCAGCTCAAAGTGTGCTTCATGCCACAGATTTGGATAAATCCCACCAAAAATCAAGGATTTGGTTCAGCCAGGCATGCTGGGGTAGGAGCACAAGGGGCTGGGATGGCTCAGCTGAAGCACCACCAACAGGCTCAGGTCACTGTGAGTGATTCCAGGGCAGCAGAAATCAAAAAGCTCAGGTTGGGGACCTGCCACAGGCACAGAACACCGAGGTTCCCCGAGCTGCTCAGAAAATCCCTCACCCCACAGCACGAGGCAGCTTTTCCCTTTGGTTTTGTTCGGGGTTTTGTGTGGGTTTTCTGCATAAAACACTGACCTCACTGCCTGAGGCTGTTTCCTCAGAGACAGAATTGAAGTGGGGAGTTTTATCCCACCCATGCACACACATGCAGGATCACATATTCTGATTTAATCTGCTGCATTTCTAAACACTCCTCCAGCCTGGAGAAGCAGCAAGATGAATGATTCAGTGAATGGGAGCTGCTTCTGAATGACACTCTGCAGGTAATTCCCTTTCTTCCCACGATTTTACAGCATCAGAAGCACAGAAAAATCATTTGCAGTCTGAAGGTTTCACTTAAAACGAGAGAGACAAAGCAGAGCCTGGAGCAGGGTTTGGCTGCAATTCCCAGCCTGCAAGAGCCCATCCTGCATTCTGTGCATCTGGAAATGCAACCAAGTGACCTGAATTGTCACACTGAGCCTGTGCTCCCATCCAGGAGCTGCTTCAGCTTGTGGGACTTTGCTCCCAGCTGAGCAAACACATCCTGATAAAGCCATCAAAGAGAGGGCTCTGCCCTGCCAAAAATGAGGATTCCTCTGAGAGCACTGGCTCACAAGGAGGATGCAAAAAAGCAGCATTTGTGCTCTGGGATGCTGCAAAAAAATCAGCATTTAGGGTTTTTATATTGGCCCCTCCAATCTCAAAATTCAGAGGTTGTCTTGGGGATTAACCTGTGGGTTGGAGCTAACCTAGTACCTAGCAAACCAAGTGTTTCCTACTCATATTTAGGAAATAACCAAAATATGAGTAGGAAACCTACTAGGTTTCCTCGGTATGAAAACTAGGTCTCCTATTGACATTTAATATTAAATCTAATTAAGCATTTTCACCTCCAGTGATCAGCAACAGGATCAGCATCAGGATCAGCTCAGACTTAACAGCAGCACTTGCTCTTTTTCACAGAATTTTTGGAATTGCAAGAGATTTCTGGAGCACATCCAGCTTTGATAGCCAAAATAGTAAAATTTAGACATCTCTGCCATGAACCTCTGCTTAACCTTTCCATCATCTCCCAAAAGAGCCAAACAGGCAGCCCTGGAGGGGATGAATTAACCAAAAACGAGGGTGACAAACAGGCAGGCACCCACACTGACCATGTCCCCCATGTGAGGCTGGAACTCAAACTTCATGGGGGGGCAGAAAACGTTGTTGTACATCTCCATCAGCCTCTGCTTGTCGCTGTTGGCATCCAGGTTCTCCACGGCGTTCTCGATGGCGTCCAGGCCCTCGTGCTTGGACTGCTCCAGGTTCAGCTCTGCCGACAGGAACGTCCTCAGCGCCCGGTTCAGGCTGGCGTGGTAGCCCAGGTCACAGCACTGCTGGAAAAACACGCACGGTTCCAGGTGAATGCACACAATTCCACGTGAATGGAGCTCCC